ACTGGCCACCACTCAGTTGGTAAACATTAGAAATATCTTAAACAAACAAACTTATTACGTCATTTAAAATATAAGCATGAGTTTGTGATGCGGTCAAACCCTTTGGCCTGGTGAATGCATTTGAATTTGAACGGAAAATTGTTTCAGAAAAAGGACAATTTTGATTAGACCTGGTAATTGGGTTGGGTGGGTCGGGTACGTATTGGGTTAAGGTACTTGGGTTAATTTTAGGTTGGATTGTCAAATGTTAGACCCAAACATTAAATATTCGTGTTAGGGTTGACTTATGAGTCAATTAGGGTCATTCCAAAAAATAATTGAAATTTAAAAAATAAAGAAAAATTACATAAAAAATGTTAAAATTAAAATAATTAATCTTAATATTCCAAATATAAAATAAAAAACATGAAATTTAACAATTTAAAGAATAAACAATAAAAATTAAAGAGTGAAAACTTTTAATAATACATAAATAATCTCAATTAGACTTGACAATCTAATCAGCGAATTGACCCATGACCTAACCCAACCCAACTTTTTTTAGTCGGGTCAGATTATTTTTCACATTTGGGTAACTAAATATGAAACCTTAACCCTGTTTTTTCGGATTAAGTTGGGTCAGATTCACAGGTTGAATCAACTTTTTGCCAGGTCTAACCTTGATAGCTCAATTTACACACGCTACTACAGAAGGCAAATGGACACTGCAGGCACTGACCACTGATCAGTTGCAATGGTCTTGATTACTATAATATACAGAGTATTAATAGATCATAGACTGTAATCGGCCATTATTCGATGGCAATTAAAGCAAGAATGAAGACAATATGGAGGTCAGTCCTCCCAACTAATTAAGGCACAATTTTTATGGCTTTATCACAGTTTTGAGGCAAAATCTTACTATATAATAGTCAAAGCTTTTCTGGTATTATTTATTTTCGGTACGATAGGTTTTCCCCTAAATTCAATGTCCAATTGCCATTGAGAAACCAAGTTCTATACAAATTGTAACATCTGCCGTTGGAATTATGATGAGCCTGTTTGGGAGGGCTGAAGTTCTAGTTGAGATGCTTTTCTCAATTGCTTTGGTCAAGCCACTAGAAGAAGCTTTACAAAAAAGTGTTTTTTTTTTCTTTTTCTTTTTTTAAAAGGACAATAAACTTGGGCTTTTAGGGAGGTGTTTGGCCTGCCTTTTTTTGTGTGTATCGTCTTTTGGGCTTTTCAAAGTTCGGAAGACCAAACTTTAGTTTTTCTATGTTTGGCAATGAAATACAAGAAGCTAGAAATACTTATGTTTTAAAAAGCTCATGAAAGCTCAAAATTGCAAAAAATCTGCAAACTTTAAGGGGTTTGCAAGTCTTTTATGAAAGATCTTATGGAATCTCTGACAATCAATAGGCATAATGAGATTTTGCATCAAGATCTTGACAGCACGAAAACCGTTTGGTTAAAAAAAAAAAAAACGAAAAGCTTTAGTTGGAGCTTCCCAAAAATAACAGGCTTTGTGCATCTTTTCGGCACAATGTCTTTTGGTAGCAGATATCTTGCGAACCAAATGGAAAAAGAACACAATGCAGTCTGACATGCTTTTAAATAGCTGAGAGATCGCACAAAAAGATGCGCCAAACTGGGCCAAAATGAAGCATCCTATGTTTCCACAACTAAAATCTTTTATTTTACAACTATATAGATAACTATAGACTAGGATACTTACCAAATGGTCTAAATCTTTAAAGATAAGACCCCAAGAAGCTCATTAATTATGGGCCCATTTGGCAAATCTTATTGGGAAGATCTTCTAATAGCTCTGACAGTCAAAAGACACATTGAGCATTTGCATGAAGATCTGAGCAGCCCAAAACTAGTTTGGTAGATACACGTCTTTCTGCACAAGTTTAAAACACGAAAGACATGAAAAGCTTTATTTGGAGCTTCCCAAAATCAGTCCAAAATGGGCTCCTCGCATCTTTTCGGCGCTCTGGCTTTTGGCAGTTAAGCCTTCCGTTAACCAAATGGGAATAGACCAAAAATTGGTCTGCCCAATTTGTAAGCAGCCAAAAGACCAATCAAAAAGACATGCCAAACGGGCCCTACATCTTTTGGCCATCTAAGCTATTGGTGGATCTACATAAGAAAACCTACCAAACGGCACCCAGATTTCTTACCAAACGTTGCTTATTTTCTGTGTGGGTGGGTGGGGTCCACCCTGCAGAGCCAAAAGCTGCTATGGGAAAGCTACTAACTAAAAATTTTCATATTATTAGACATTTCGCTCAATTTGTGATGGCACAGATATTTTGATTTTACTTGGACATAAGACATAACAATAGTGATTAAATTTATGAATTATTTTGAAATAATTTGATTTAATTGTATTTATAAACAAATATTTAATTACAATGTGAAACAATGTCTTTCATAAATCTGTATAATAACATCATTCAAAGTGAAAGATAAGTTTGTAAGGGAGTTGTTGGAGTCTTTGATTTTTGGTGCATGTATGTGTAAGAATTGACAATTGATTTAGATGGAGGCAGAGTCATTTCTTTAATAGCAAGCCCAACAAGAAGAACATGGACCCAGCAACATTAAGAGGAAAAAAGATGGAAGCACAAAGCAAAGCACCTAGAGACTTAGTGAAGATATAAACAAAATAGCTCCTTCAATGGTCAAAATGTCAGAGAGCTTCCATTGACAAACCAAGTCCCAGTATATATAACAAGGTGAACATCTATTTCAATGTGCCATGTGGTTACATCCATTTTGATTGTTGTTAAATTTACATATAACAACAGTAGCTTTATTATGTGAAACATGTGTGTGTGTTGTAGACAAAAATACCGTACATGGATCGTTTTACAATTTCAACATGACTTTGTTACGTAAATTGTTGTACATGGAGGAAGGATTGCTTCTCTAATATCACCACAATTAGCAAGGTTGGGCCATCCAAAAGCGAGGAGCATCAAGACCTTTGGTGAAAATACTATTTATTCGTAAGGGTTTTTATTGTTCACTCCACTTGAGAATTCATAATACAATCGTAAAGTTTGGGTCAATATTATAGAGGGTAAGATGTAAAATTCACAGGGGATGGTGTATATAGGGGAGCTACTAGCTAGGCATTAATACATTGGAAAAAGAAAAAAAAAAATGACGAATATTCTGAAGTGGACTCAAGAGTAAAAATCCCTTTAATCTTTAGCCTAAATGAATTTTCCTAGTGCCATTGCACGAATCCAACACCTATTATAACTGTACTGACATGACAATAGCGATTGATTCATGAATCAATTTAGGATAGTTCAAATTATTTATAATCAATTGCTTCGATTCAAGTGTAACAGCATTCCTATAGGTGATATCCATTTGACGTAAGAATTTATTTATGAACTGAAAATGACAGCAATAATGCATTTATATATGCAGGTGTTTGGATGTAAACTTTTGTACCCAAATTGGTCCCATGTAAAAAAAAAAAGAAGATAAATTGTTGTCCTAAAATTCAAGTTTAACGTATACCCACAACTAGAAATTATTTGAGAAAGAATACAAATTTATCATTACAACCAATCATATTTGTATTTGCACTCTTCGCCAACGGAGCCTTTAACAGCACGCATGATCAGTACACACCACACACACAAATAATTGCCACCCCTTGCCCCTTGCCCCTTGCCCCTTCTCCTGGTCAAGTGTCACAATTACACGATCAACAGCAATTGGCCACTCACTTTTCCCTTGGATTTAAGGCAAAAAGGAATCTTTGAGCAGTTTAGTATTACCCACTCTGTTCTTAAAATAGCCAATAGTCATCAAAAACAAGGAAAAGATATATATATTTATAAATTAACACGAATCTATGATGAACTACCTCTCACCTAACTTCCTTTTCTTTTTTTATTTCCTTTTTGCCACCATCTTGGTAAGATAAGGCTTTCCCCATCTTGGATAGGATTGGAAGAATTATATTAACCCCAAAATTCAGCTTGGTTTTTGAAATTTGCTTCTTCGATCCAAGGAACCATTCCACCAGGCCCCAGGCCCCACACCCAAACAAAACAGCCCATCCTCTTTAATCAGCAAACATTAAGTATTAACCGTTGCGTAATAGAATTAAACCTTTTCCATAAAAATAAAATTGAACTTTTTGAAGCAAAAAAAAAAAAAATTAAAAAGAATACTTTTTTCCAAGAAAATGTTAAATTTGATGCTTTATTACTAGTGTGATGTGGATAAGATGATCGATAGGAAAGCATTGATATAAGCCAACAAGCGAGGAAATTTATGACATAGAGTAGGCTATTATTCAGCACTTGATTTTGTTTTTCGCTTTTTTTAATACAATGGAAGAAAATTGAAACCAACCTAGAAATTCAGATAACAGAATATAATCTAGGCTCCAGGTAGTTGAACCAGATAGAGAAAGACTTGTAGCTAGCATTCAATTCCCCTCGTTTGTGATCCAGTCCGCAGCTTGGTCTTCCTCTCTAGTCTCTACTAATGCGTTGATATGAAATCCTGATGTTGCCCTGATCCCCCCTCCCCCCTCCCCTCCCATTATGTTCTTGCTTTCTTCTTCCATCATTTCACATCTCCAGCAGAGATGGATGTTTTTGTAAGAGGGAAATGAGAGGTTTCTTCTTGCACAAGGAAAATGCCAAGAGAGAAGAGTCGTATGTTGCAGTTTAGACTTCGAAGCGAGCAAAAATGACAAGTCGAAAAATTAGGATTAAAATACCAAGTAACCGACTATCCAATTCAATATTCTGTTCGACCCAGATGCATACAATATGAGACAATTATTAATATCATTTGTGGGTAAAAACAACATGAATGGCTCAGATCCAGTACTGTAGGAAAGCGATGTGAAGACTTATGGAGTCATCAATTAATGTATGTTTCCCTCATAAGGATTAAGGATGGCTTAATTAATTACGACTGCTAGTTAAAGTTGAAGCACAAAATTAAGGAGAAAGTATATATGGACCAGAAAGGCAGAAACTAAGACAATCAAACCACTTACTTGTTGCTACATTCATCTGGATTCTGGAAACATCATGACTACACGAAAGAAAAGATGAAGAAAAATTACACCAACACTAAGCACTTAGATACATTCGAAGCAAGTGCTGAGAAAGACCAAAAGGGATACACTAAAGATTCCCTTCCTCCCAAAGACATCTTATCTACAGTTCTTTGGGTCCTCAACCCTCTCTCATTCTCCTCCCCATCTTTTTTTTTTCTTTTCTTTCTTTTGTGCTTGAAAGAAAAAGAAAAGGAAAGTTGGGAAGAAGGACAAAAAGAGCCAAGGGGAGCTTCACACAGACTCGCAACTCCTCCATTATTACTACTTGCTCTTGGAAAGTAAAAACCACCAATTGTCCTTAGTACATCTTCATCTGTCTCCCGAACTTTGACGAAGGACAAAAACCAGAACTAATCTTGGAAATTTAGACGTGGGGGTTGCTCCTGAAGGATCCCAAAGCTTTAATAGCTGCTGCTCTGAGGATGTATTGATGGTAGAACGCTGCGATGGCAGCTCCAATGAAGGGTCCGACCCAGAAGATCCAGTGGTCATGCCAAGCCTTGTCCTTGTTGAAGATGACAGCGGCTCCAAGACTCCTTGCCGGGTTGATGCCGGTTCCGGTGATTGGGATGGTGGCCAGGTGAACCATGAATACTGCGAATCCGATGGGGAGTGGCGCCAAAACCTTATCGCACATAACCACATCAAGACTTTCAGATTTCAATAACAAAACTACTATGGTGGGTAATTAATGCATTGCATGCATGTGCCTGCCTACGTCAATACATGTTTCTAACCTTTAATTATTTTATTATTTGCGACTGACTATTAAGATTGAATACTCTGCTGGAACGGGAGGATATTGGGCCAATCACGATATGCCACGTCAGCCTCACAGTTGGATGAACGTTCACGAAGCTGATGTGATGCATCGCAATTGCCTGAATAGAACTTGGATGCGTTGCGTGCTAGCTCAGAGAAAGGGTTATATATAATAACTAGCATTTGCCGTAAAAAAAAAAAAAAAAAATTAATATATACAACAGTTGATAATTTGCTTGATATGGATAAATAAAAGGTTCTTATTTCCCCAACGGAGAATGATTAATTCTTAACCAAGACCAAGGGGAATATTTGCCTTGGGAAGTGGAAGGGTGGAACCGTGGAAGAAGATGAGACGAATGATTTTTATATCAATAGAGATAGTTGAAAAGATAACATGGGTAACGTGGCTGTGTTTTCCTCCGGTTGATGGATGTGATATTGAAGAGGTGAAAGTAATTCTTTAGGGCCACAGTTCCGCTAGCATGCGCACGGAGTGCATAATGATAAATGCTTCCAAAAAAACAGAAGTGAAGCGGTGCGGGTGCGGGTGCGGGTGCGGGGGTGCGGTGACAAGTCACAATTGATTAGGTCTTCGTCTTCCTCGTGGTGTATATTTCCCTTTTATTTTTAGGTGGGGTTGAATGTTGATGGGAATTATCTTGTGGTGGTTAATGACTGTACTGGAAGCTGTCTGCCTCATGTCTGTCTATGTTATGTAATAGTAGCTCTATCTATGAATGGGGGAGGGGGTAGCTCTTTTATCTATTTTCATTTTTCATTGATCAACGGTTACTATTTTCCTGCTGACTTTGGCGGGGTTGGTTTGTCATCTCACGTGTCACATGCTGGCACTCCAAGCTCCAGCGTGGCATGGGCATGGGGATTGTGTTTCTGGAGTCGGGTTTCTGGCTAACTCTAACCTGAGCCTTTGGGGAGGGGGAGGGGACTCCTCACTTCTCCTCCTTTGCAAATTCCCAATTCACCGGCCGTCGCCGATGCTCCACCGCAAGTCGTGTCTCCTGCCCAAAAGGGCTGACTCCTTTGAAAAGTCCATATTAGGGAATAGGACTAGTTACGTGTATCACTCACCGTTCACCCAACCAGAAAATTTTGAAATAAACAGTATTGGAGTATATATCGGCAAAGGTGATTCTTACCGGGACATGTGAGTCTCTGGCGTTTCTCTTGGGGTCAGTGGCGGAGAAAACGGTGTAGACGAGGACGAAGGTACCGATGATCTCGGCTGCCAATCCTACGCCCTTGCTGTATCCATCTGCCAGCTCGTTCGCCCCACCACCGTAGCGGACGTAGTAACTCTTCTGAAAACCCTTGACCAACCCGACCCCGCAGATTGCGCCCAGGCATTGAGCTATTATGTACATCACGGCTCGGATTAGCGACACCTTACGTGCCAAGAACAGCCCGAACGTCACAGCTGGGTTTATGTGTCCTCCTGTTCACCACCATCATATAAAGTTGCATGAGGAATAATACTACAAGTGCGCCCAAGCAGATCCAGAGGAGCTTTCAGCTTCCTTTTCATTTTTATTTTTTTGTTAAACAATTAATTTTTAATCAGAAGAAAATACCAATAACTATAAGAAATATAAGTATTTTAAATAAAACTTATGTTTTTATTTTTGAGAAACCTATCTGTGTAGAGAGAGAGAGAGAGAGAGAATAGAAAAACTCACCAGAGATACCAGCCGTGCAGTAAACAAGAATGAAGATCATACCACCAAAAGCCCAAGCGATACCGAGGAGGCCAACGCCACCACAATCAGTACCGTTATGAGACGAATCGGTCTGGCGTTTGTAACCGATGACCGTCAACACAGTAATGTAAAGAAACAAAAGGGTCGCAATGAACTCCGCGATGAGAGCCCTGTAGAAGGACCACTTGCTTAATTCATCGGGGTCGATCAACGACGCCGGAGGGGGGTCGTGGTAGTCCTTGGCGGAGAACTGGCTGTGTTCAGAAGATTCAACGTCCTTGGCCATGCCGCACGAAACACAAGACTTCACAGGAAGGAAAACAGAGATGTAGAGGAGGATGGCCTTGGACCCTTGTTTGAGTGGTTTTGTGTTTTAATGTGAGTGGGAGGAGAATGAGAGAGATAGAGGGGTATTTATATTGGGAGATTGACAAAAAAGAAATATGTTTATTAACTTATAATATTGCCGCCCCTAGTCCCACTAATTACGATTTTATTTCGCTTTCATTGGCCCCCTTTTCTTCGCTCCTGCTTTTTTGTTTGTTCGCTTCTCTCTTCTCTTTTTTAGACACACACACATACATAAGATTAGAGAGAAGAGTTAATGAGTTATTCCGGAAATCCCCTTTCTTTTTTTTTTTTTTTTGCCACCATTTTTACAAAGTGAATGATCAATATATTTTCTTTGGTAAAAACTAAAAAGTGAATGAATATATGACATAATGACTAATCACACCTTTTATATATAATTATATTGTTTGAGCAAGTTCGTGCATGCCCCTCAGGTCTCAGGCTCTCAGCTCAGCTGTATATTTGATTCTCATCTGTTTTTTTTTTTTTTTTCTCCTGAGAATTGAAGCATCTGGCACCTTCTAATTGGTTTATTTACTTAATAATTAAGGACGTAGTGCTGTCCTTACTCCTTAATGCGTTGGGTTGAAAGTGGACTGTGGTTAACTCTCTAACAAGGTCTCGTTCATCTAATTTTCACGTGTCTTTTTTACGCAATTATCAAAATCTATCCACCTCCTTGTTTTGCCTCCTTCATCTTTTTTCTATTCTGATTCAAATTAATTTACGGTAAACCGTTAATCTCAGTCGTATGGAACTTTCTTCATAGTCGTACCTAAGTGCCTTTTGCCTTAAAATCTGATTTCTTGTGAATACTGAATAGACCATGAGGGCAGTTTCGGAATTAAGAAAACCCTTGTATTTTTACCATTTAGTATTTACTACTGATGTTT